AAACACTAGATAATGCAGATAGATAAAAAGACAAAATTATCTGCGTTTTTTTAAACCTAGACTTTAAAGATAGATATCGATTTTTTTCCCTTCAAATCTAAACAATATTTAGAAATATACATATAAATAATAATAAAAAAATAGATAACAGGGAAACAGATAATTATGTAAATAGATTGTTTTTAATGAGACAGCTGTGAGAGGTTTTTTTTTAAATTTAAATCCTAGACTTTATGGTTAGACAAATAAAAAGAATAGAAAATACTATAAAGAGGCATATAATGAAAGATAGATAGATAGATAGATAGATAGATAGATAGATAGATAGATAGGAGATAGAATTATGAGATTTGTAAAGCTTGTATTATTTAATAATTAAACCTTTTGATTCGAAAGATACATAGAAATAGGAAACACTAGATAAATAGACACGGGCTGACTTACAAAAAGAAAAGAGAATCTTCAAAAACATATTAATGTGTGAATATTCACTTCAATTATCCAATCATGTGAAAAGCATCTGCACATTGATTGGACGTGCAAAGTAAACAGGAATTTATTTGCCTTTTAGGAGGTTAAATGACGTGAATATTGGACAATTTATTGTGTGAACATTCTCAACTCTTAAATAAACCAGCCTGGAGCAGATGTTGATCAGGCAGCGGATGTCCCCTGTACATTATTGGGGGTGTTCAAAGTAAGCAATCATCTGCTTTTTCCATGGCTGGATAATTGTGAAGATTCACACGACTTGTTTAGTAAATCAGCCTAATCTAATTATTACATAGAATGTGCGCTTTCTACTGAATAATAATAATAATGATAATAATAATTATGATTATTGTTAATATTATTATTGTTGTTAATATTACTATTATTACTGTTATTGTTATTATTATTTTTTTTATTACTGTTGCTATAATTTTTATTATTACTGTTATTATCATTATTATTCGGTATTATTATTATTACTATTATCATCATTAGTATTATTATTATTTATTTTGTGGGGTGGCCCATGTTTGAGCCCCTGTAGCTCAGGGATTTTAACCATTTCCGGAGCATCCAGCAGGCTGATAAGAGGCGATGTGGCCCTTCTGTCTGCAATCAGGCAGCTTCCTCTCTGTTCTCAGAAGTTCAGTCAAAACTTCACAAACAAGTGTAAAATCCCTGACTGCGCCCTCCATGATCCCTCCTAATCCCTGCAAGGGCTAGCAGAGCCCACAGGAAGAGGAGACAGTCTCAGGCACCTTCATGTCATGTCTACAATGTCCTTCACACAGATTTGTATTTTCTTTGTAATTCTCATTCATCTTTCACCTGTGTAATCCTTGCCTTCCCCTGTCAGCTCCTACAGGTCACCTGGTTATACCTTGTACCCCTACATGTGTATAGAATGCCCCCCCACCTTTTATAACTGAACACTTTCACTTGTTACAATATGTTATATACATGAGAGTTGGGTTACAAAATATATATACATAACATTCACTTTGCAGAGGGCACACACTCTACTCCCTCAGAAAATCAATCCCCATTGTTTAGTGTTTGTAATATTTGTATTTGCTCATTTAATTAAAAACAATATTCATCGGCAACCCCCCAATCCCCCCCCCCCTCAGGTGCAGATTTCCCAGGCTGAGCGATTATTAATAAAGGTGATCCCTGGTCAAGCAATATACAGAAGAGGAGCTGAGTCAGGGGAATGGAATCAGGACAGGGAATAAAAAACAACCAGCAAGTTCTGATGCATTTCGGATAACTTCTGCTGCAGATGGACTACTGCGCTGTAAGAGCACGCTGGGACTTGTAGTTCCATACAGGTAAAGTACAAGATTCTTATATGAAAGCAGTGATGCGGCACACTTTCTGCACTGCACTGGTTAACCATGTAAACTCCTTCCTCCTCTATTACATCACATGCTAGTAATCCGAGGATTTGAGGATTAGAATTTTGCAGAAACCTCTTAAAACATCTTTCCTGCAGGACTGTCAGATCCATCGGAGCCGAGCAGCCAATCAACGTGCAGCTTTTTAAAGAGTTAAACCTTTACCTGAGCTATCTGTCTGCTTTGTCTCATTCCCTAATTCAACTTTATTTTGATTCGTCCCGCCTGTCACAGCTTGAAAAAAACCCTCGTTAGTCTACAATGGATACATTTTAATTTAGGGAAGGAATAATTTGATTGTAAATTTGTAACGAGCGAGAGAGAGACGTATAGATGATAGAAAAATAGATAGACAGATTTCATTTCTATTTATATAAAGTTTAAAGAAAGAGAATAAAAAGTAAAGTAAATGTGGAAAGAGTAACAGTATATATGCATTAATTAAAATAGAATTATAGATAGATAGATAGATAGAAAAAAGTGAAAAGAGCATTATCTACCAGTTATTCATATGTAAAACAATTTTAAGGTGATAGAGGAAGGTAGCTGATGAATTATATATATATA